AGAATGCAATTCACGCTCATCTGGGCCATTACTGTGGCTTTGCAGTCTTTTATATTCCTCAGAGCATCTGTTCAGCTTCTTCCCTACTCTGCACAAAATCTCAAATAGATCCACACCCTACTCATATAGTAGCTGACAACATTTATTTTATAAGAAGATGGGGGTCATGCAACATCAATTCCCTCCATTTATTCTATGTTTACCACAAAACTCTGTATCCTCATCCAGCCCCTCCTGCTACAATTTGGGGTCTAGTCTCACCATTTTACTAAAACTGCTCTCAGAAGTTGCCAAATCTAATTACGTCTCAGTCTTCATACTCTTGCTATATGAGTGTTTCTTAACCCTGGCTACAAATTAGAACTATGAAGAAAATACTGATGCCAGGGCCCCACCTGAAGAATCCAATTTAATTGGTCTTGGGTTGGTAGAGGGCTGGGAACTGACTTAAAGCTCCACAGGTGATTCTACAGGATGAAGAATCGCAGTCTACAGTACTGACTCCATTCAGTAACTTGCCCCTTCTATTTGAAACTCTTGGCCGCCACAATATCACACTTGCTGGGTATTTCTATTTGCTCCTAGTGTTTTTTCTTCAATATCCTTGACTGGAGGCTCTTTCTCTGATTCCATTTGCTCTGCCAATTGTTCCTTTCCCTCTAGACCCTTAATTTAAGATTTCTAACAATCCCAGATCTCAAATCTCCAGATTTAATCTTGAACTCAAGCCTCAGCTCCAGACCCACACCTCACATAGACACTGTCCCTCTGAATTCAGACTCTACATGTCCAAAATCCTATCATTGTGCTAGCTGTCTCACTCTCCATTCCACACAGTAGCTGTTTCAAACATTCTGCATTCCACCCCTCATTCAAACCCTTCATTCCACGACATCTCTCCTTATTTATAGCAGAAAACCTCACTCCTAATTCACAGAGAAAACAGAAGCCTTTATAATCTCTTAACTTTTCCCGCTCTGAGAAAGTCAGAGACATGCACTTTTTCTCGGCACCCCAACACTTCTGGGGCTCTTGTTCTCAGTCACCCTGGAGTCCAGGACCCAGCAATTATTTCCTTTTCCCTCTTCTGGATCCTTCCCATCAGCATCTAAGTTTACTGAAGTATACTTTAAAAAAAAGGAACTCAAAAAACTATCCTGCTCACTTACATCCTCTCCACTCTCATCTACTCCCTAATGTCAATCTGCCTCACAAGTATTTTCCCATCCACATCTTTTTTGGCATTCAGATTTATAAATTCAAATGCCTGACTCTACTTCCCCTATGAGAAGTCATATGGGTTTCTAAAATACAACGTGTCCGCAACTGAACTCATCCTCTTCTCACGCCTCTTCTCAAACCTGCTGCTCATGCCCTTTCTCAGTGAAAGGCATCACTGTTATCCAACCAGTTTCCCAAGCGAGAAACTGCAGCGTCTTCCTTATCCCCTTCTCTTTGGAAACCCACCACATTCCAGCATGCACCATGCCAGCCCAACTGTTTCAGTTCAGCTCAGGCTGAGGCTATCTCTTGCTTGAATTTTACTGGGACGGCTCTCTGGATCTCTTTACAAATCTGATCATGTCATTCTGCTGCTTAAGACTATTCAAGATGGCGCATTTTATATAGGCATGGGAACAGACAAACAGACTTAAGGGGTGCAACGGAGTTCAGAAACAAATCCAGAAAAATAGCTGTATATATGACGACATTTAAAGCAGCACTTAAAAGCAGTGGAATAAAATTCAATTAATGGAATTGGGATAATTGGCTATTTAGTTAGGAAAAATTAAAACTGTACCCTTACCTCATATAATGAATGGGTATAAATTCGAAGTAAAGATCTAAATGTAATAAAACCATAAAAGCACATAGAAGAAAATATATGAGAAAATTTATACTAAGCTTAGGATAAATAAGGTACTTGAATAAAAGGCCTAAACTCTTTAGAAGAACATACGAAAACCCTTGCTTATCTCCTTAACACCATTTCTCTCTCCTGCCCCCACTCCTCCTCTCTAGTGAAGAGAATCTCTTGCTCCCACAGAAGCACCACATGGGTCTCTCATCTGAGGGTCTCTGCTAGGTTCGTGTGCTCTCTAGTTTACTGGAGTCTGTCCTCTTCCCTTTGATTGTAAATGCTGTATTTATCATATATTCAATTTGATTCTTCATCTTGTTTTCTAGGCTCTATTCTGTGTTTTGATCTGTTGGTCTCTTCCTGTGCCAATGCCATGTTTAAATAACTATAAATTTGAGGTAGATGTTTGTACCTGGTAGAATTATGCTTTTCATTCTTCTCTATTCAAATTTTGAGAAATGCTCGAATTAGCTCATCAAATTCTACTAAAAATACCATCAGGGCCTTGGTTGTAACTGCACTGAATCTACAGATCACCTTGGGGAGAACTGGCATCTTCTCACCTAGGAATATGTTTCTGTCCATATTTAGTCCTTCAGCAAAGAAAAGTTTATGTCTTGCAGATCTATTATTTAAAATCATTTCTGGGTATTGTATAGCTTTAGTGGCTATAGTGATTGAGGCTTTATTTCATTATATTTTCAAATACATCTTTTATCATAGTATTTTCCTTAATTCAGCATTATCACTGATGGTGTACAGGAAAGCTATTGAATTCTGTGTACTTCACTTTGCATCTGGTTGCTTTACTGTTTTCTCTTACTAGTTCTAACAGTTGGTACTTTGGGAGAGGGAAAGAGTATTACGTTCCACAGGAAAGAAAAAAGGTATTTGAAGCAAGTTTGTATGCAAGATAATGAGGCAGAATAGTGACACTGTTACACTTAACTGGAGATGTCCTAATAAAAGTAAACAAAAATACAGGACTGAGGCAGAGGGAAGATGTGAGGACTGAACAAGCTGTAGGACTCACCATGTGCACACGGTAAGAGGTGAAAAAGCTCCTTCAGAGCAATGTCGATGCCAGGACCGATAGAAAAAAAAATGTTGGTCTATTCCAAAATTTGCTACTAAAAACAGAACAAAAATGACATTTTGAAAATTGTGTTGTAGTTTGATATTACAATTATTGAGTACAGACCTGGAAAATGTACTTTTCCAAAACGAATTTCAGGAGACAAAGGGTGGGGTCTCCTGACTATGGGTCTGACTACTATACATTACTACTGTGGGATTCATGTGAAAAAGAAGCCTGATGATCAAAGTAAAGGCAGGAAATGGGTGGAGGAAAAGGGAAATGCTGAACTACAAGGTCATGGTCAGGAAACCAATTTGGCAAAGCACATGGAAAACCAAGGCATACAGAACCCAGTACCACACAGTAATGCACAGTCCAAAGCCAGCTTTGTTTACAGTAACAAGACTCAAACAGCAGGGTAAAGGCCGGTACCTGCGATCCACAGAGGGAACCCCCTCAAAATGCCCCGTCAAGCTCATTTTCTGTTAGTCACTCTTACTGTGGAGACAGACTTTCAAATGGAGCTTGGACAAAAGGCTGCCTAGGTCCCAAGAAATGCATTAGTAAAAAATGCCTAATGCTGATTATTAGCCATGTACACCATCTCCCTTTCTTTCATTGCCATTATTTTCCTAAACAAGTCAAAGTACCATACTTCTTAATCATACAATAAAAGAAAATTAAGATATAGTATGTACAGTCAAATGCTAATTTCATGAAGAACATGTGTCAAATTGTTAAAAATAAATATCACTCAATACCAGAATGCAACACTGTTTGTATGTTTTAACTTACCCTTTCCTGAATTTTTAGTTTCCTACAATGAATATTTATTGATTTTGTAATAAGAAATATTCAACAGTAGGTATTATGAAAAACAGAAATCAAAGATCCTGATAAAATCAAAGAAAATCAAAATTAATATTAAAAAAAAAGAATCACAACTGTAATACATAATTTCAGATTACTCAAGAAATAGCAATTCTGATGAAATCTCCAATCAAAATAAAACTAATAAAATAAAGGAAGATGTACACCTAAACCTCTCCTTTGGAGAAAAGCTAAAATAAAAGGGTCTTTAAAGCATTAAGTGTGAAATCCATAGAAGTAAGTGTAGCAGCATGAAAAAAGAATGTGACTGATACTCTCATTATGCCACAGAATGGGAAAGAGGTCAGAGAAGATGATCAACTCAGAAATGGACCCTTGAAAACAGCGAGTCAGGGGCTTCCCTGGTGGTCCAGTGGTTAAGAATTCACCTGCCAGTGCAGGGGACAACTGTTCAATCCCTGGTCTGGAAAAATCCCACATACCATGAGGCAACTGCCCATGCATTGCAACTAGAGTCCATGCACCTAGAGCCCATGCTCTGCAGTAAGAGAAGCCAGTGCACTGCAACCAGAGAGCAGACCCTGCTCGCTGCAACTAGAGGAAGCCCATGCACAGCAACCAAGATCAAGCACAGTCAAAAATACATACATAAATAAAACATTTTTTTAAAGAATCAGAAAATAAGTAAATAAAACAGCAAGTCAAAACAGGGTCATACTTTGAAGAAATGAATGCAACGTCTGTCAGAAATGGATGAGGAGTAAGATTAACTGCAGGAGGAAGCTTCTTCTTGGCGCCAACGCAGTCACCGGGGAGGGGAGACCTGGGTGGCATCTGAACCGGCCTGCCCCTGAGACACCTGTTTCTGAGCCTGGCCTCTTACCTCCCAGCACCCCAGCCAAGCTGCTTCCAGGTGTCTGGTTATTTTCAGAGAGTCCCTGTCAAGTTCCATGACCCATGACACCTCCTCCCCTCCTCAGAACAGCGATTTTTAAAGCTCAGAGGGAAGAGGCTGGGAGAGCAGCTAACTGGGCAAATCAGAGTCCCGATTTGTGGATGGAAGATAGACTGCCAGAAGACAGTTGTCTAAAATCAAGGGTAGTTTACTCGTGACCAGATGTGAGAAAGGGGTATGCTTATTGTGCTCAATTGAACAGAGGCTTGTAAAGTATCTTCTACAGATGAGGTACTTGCCAGGTGCTATAGGGGATATAAAGAAAAATCACTCACCTTCTGAAGGGATAGATGGGCTTCCCTGGTGGCTCAGATGGTAAAGAATCTGCCTGCAATGCAGGAGACCTGGATTCGATCCCTGGATTGGGAAGATCCTCTGAAGAAGGGCATGGCAATCCTCCAGTATTCTTGCTCTGAGAATCCCCATGGACAGAGGAGCCAGGTGGGCTACAGTCCATGGGGTTGCAAAGAGTTGGATACAACTGAGAGATGAAGCACAAGGGATAGATAGATATAGCACAGAGGAGGAGGATGGGGAGAAATAAAGTCAATAAAAACGCAATGCAATGAGAAGGAACACTGCCTGGTGGGTGATATGGGCTCTGCAGTCAGAGGAGTGAGTCCAAATCCATAGCTTGTGTGACCTTAATAACTTGTTATTTAACTTCTCTGCATCTTACTTTCTTCATCTGTAAAATAATGATGATAGTCGTATCACCTCATAAGGTTCATAAGAGGAGTAGTTAAAACACAAAGAGCTTATTAGGACAGAAATTGTGTGTGCTCAGTCACTCAGTCATGTCCGACTCTATGTGACGACATGAACTGTAGCTGCCAGGCTCCTCTGTCTGTGGAATTTTCCAGGCAAGAAGACTAGAGTGGGTTGCCATTTCCTACCCCAGAGAATCTTCCCAACCCAGGGATCAAACCAACATCTCTTGTGTCTCCTGCATTGGCAGGCAGATTCTTTACCACTGTGCCACATGGGAAGCTCCCCAGGACACCAACTGACATACAATAAAAATATTTCCTATCATTTTGTGCCTCTATATGTCAATGTGATATTGAATACTAGAGTGGGTTGCCAGCCCCTTCTCCAGGGGATCTTTCTGACCTGGGATCAAACCGAGGTCTCCTGCATTGCAGGCAGATTCTTTACCAACTGAGCCAACAGGGAAGCCTATTTTTTTTATTTCTCATATTAAATAAGGGAGGCGTTATTAGCCCTGTTTGTAGATGAGGAGTCTGAGGGTCAGAGAATAATGTAATCTGGATAAGATAGAGAGGAGGAACAGAGTTGTGAGTTGAGTCCACATCTGCCTGATCACAAAGCTTCTGATTTTTATTACTACTCTGCCACTATGGGAAAGGAGTACATCAAGGCTGTGTATTGTCACCCTGCTTATTTAACTTATATGCAGAGTACATCATGTGAAATGCCAGGCTGGATGAATCACAAGCTGGAATCAAGATTACTGGGAGAAATATCTTGAGAAATATCAAGATATTTCTTATGAAAAATATCAACCACCTCAGATATGCAGATGACACCACACTTATGGCAGAAAGTGAAGAAGAACTAAAGAGCTTCTTGATGAAGGTGAAAGAGAGTGAAAAGGCTGGCTTAAAAGTCAACAGTCAACATTCAAAAAATGAATGTTTTCATGGCATCTGGTCCCATCACTTCATGGCAAACAGATGGGGAAACAAAGGAAACAATGAACTTTATTTTCTTGGGCTCTAAAATCACTGCAGATGGCGAATGCAGCCATGAAATTAAAAGACACTTGCTCCTTGGAAGAAAAGCTATGACAAACCTAGACAGCGTATTAAAAAGCAGAGACATTACTTTGCTGACAAAGGTCCGTCTCGTCAAAGCTATGGTTTTTCCAGTAGTCATGTATGGATGTGAGAATTGGACCATAAAGAAAGCTGAATGACAAAGAATTGATGCTTTTGAACTGTGGTGTTGGAGAAGACTCTTGAGAGTCTCTTGGACTGCAAAGAGATCAAACCAGTCAATCCTAAGTAAATCAATCCTGAATACTCATTAGAAGGACTGACTCTGAAACTGAAGCTCCAATACTTTGGCCACCTGATGCAAAAAACTGACTCACTGGAAAAGACCCTGATGCTGGGAAAGACTGAAGGCAGGAGGAGAAGGGGACGACAAAGGACGAGATGATTGGACAGCATCACTGACTCAACAGACATGAGTTTGAGCAAGCTCCGGGAGACGGTGAAGGACAGGGAGGCCTGGCGTGCTGCAGTCCATGGAGATGCAGAGTCAGACACAACTGGGCTACTGAACATCAACTCCACTATAAAACACCAGCAGCCAGCATTTGTTTAGTACTTACCCTACACCAATCTTGGTATGCACAATTGAGATTATTCTCACAAAATACTACCTGAACCCCATCTTAAGAAAAAAGAAGAAAGTCTAGGTGTAGAGGCCTGCGCCCATGCTAGAAATCACTGGGCTGCTAAGTGGCAAAGACAGGATGTAAATCTGTGTCTCCCCTTTGCCAGTGTCAGAGGGCAGCCCCCTGCCCAGTGCTGCTTTACCTGGGGGATTTTGAAAAAAAGAGATATTTTGAAGATTCCCACATCTAGAAGTTTATGATGAGGCAAATCTTGGGTTGGGGACCACAGTAGCATGCTCATCTTCTGGCTGGTAGTTCTCATAAGTCTACAAAGGCATGTTTTGTCATGGATCTTAAATGCCAAGGTGAAAAGTTTATACTCAATTCAGCTAGAAATGGGGAGTCAATTAAGGTTTTCCAGTGAGGTTTTTCAGTAAGCAGTGTTTTGGGGAAATTAATCTGGGAGTAATGAATAGGATGGACTGAAAGGGAAAGAAAAGTGTGGCAGACTGACTGGCAAGGAGACTATTCTAAGCCACAAAGCTTACTTTAGTCTTAACACAGCTACATATCAGACACACAGAAAACAAGTCCTCAGAAAAAGGCCCACCTGAACACAAGATGACTTGCAGCTTGCAGAAAAACATTATTTTAATATTCCACACTGATATCTAATAACACAAATTAAAATTAGGTTTTCCCTTTTAAAAATTAAGAAAAGAAACATGCATTCATCCACAAACATCAATTTTTAAAAAGCAAACTCTGGTACATATTAGGTATATATTCATATGATTGAAATCATCTAGCATTATTATGAAAAAAAAGAAAAATTAGAATTTTATAGGGTTTTATAGTTTTAAAAAACTAGTGATATAAACCTCCTGGAAATACTGAAAAAAAGAGAAGATAATATGTGAGATTTATTTTAGATAATAAAGGATAGAGCTTATTTAGATAATTATACATTCACAAAGTGAATTTATTGTTAACTTATATTACAGATGGAACTGTATTTCTGAAATTTAAGGGAATGATAGTTTTTATCAATTTAAGATTAAAAAACTGAAATAAAAACTGTGGTAATGAAGTTTTATATTCCTAGGTTTATTATCATTAGCATGTTAAGTAGTTATAGAAAGTACTCATTTTCAAAACAGAACTGAGACAAGCACCATAAAGATGTTATACCCTTTGAGTAAATAAATCTACTCTTACGACTGTATTCTAGAGATATAGTTGAATAAGAGCAAAAAGGCACATGTAGAAGACACACTACACAGTGTGTGTGTGTGTGTGTGTGCGTGTGTGCGTGTGTATGCATGTGCTAGTCACCCAGTCGTGTCTGACTTTGTGACTCCATGGACTACAGCCCACCAGGCTCCTCTGCCCGTGGAATTTTCCAGGCAAGAATACTGGACGGGGTTGCCATTTCCTTCTCAGGGGATCTTTCCAACCCAGAGAGCAAATCTGCGTCTCTTGCGTCTCCTGGATTGACAGGCAGGTTCTTTACCAGATCAAAACAAGAAACAATCTAATAATCCAGCATTAGATAAGTTTCTGGTAAACTGTCAACATAATAGAATATTTATAACACTAAATTTCAATCATAAAAATGCTATAGAAATACAAGAAAATGATTGTTATATTTTAGGTACATTTTCCTGACCACATCATTGTATAGATATTATTTATACCTATATATAAAACACACATGAAACAAGGCAGATGTCAAAAGTAAAAATGATAGTTTAATGGTTGTTATGTGTCTTTCTTAAAATGAAAACTTCTTATAATAATATTATTCTATTGTCTTTTTATTGTCTTTACTGTTTGTATCAATTTTCTAGTTTCTTTATAGTGGAGGAAACTTTGTAAGAGAAAGCCACCTCCCATCCCTCATCTCTCTTCTCCCATGTGTCATTATGCCTAATTAATCTGATTTCTAAGGCAGAACTAACAATGGCCTTTCTTCTCACTCCTCATATTTATATTAACTGGAAAGAACATAAACCACTGTCCCTTCTCAGAATTCTGAGTCCAGGCCTAATTCGGGCAAATCCAGGAGAGGTGCTCCCACACTCACCCCACCTTCCTTAATTTTTGGATAGGAGCTCTCTGCTGCTACAAGGACTGGCTTATGACAAAATCCTTCCTATTTCTAAATAAAGTATTTCTCTGTGCTCATAAGTGGAAATGCACTCAGATTCTCCCAAAGAGTTCATTTCATCTGGGACACTAGATAAAGACTGCCTGACAAAGAGAGAATGAGATTCAGGGAAGTGAGTGCTGTAGATGTTTTTTCAGAGAAGTCCTTTCTACTGCCAGGTTTTAAGAAATAATTTGGGAGGAGTCAGCAGTTATGAGCGGGCTGCAACAGAAACATCTTATTTTAAACAATCTACCCCAATAAACGACATTCAATTTTGCGTAGGGGGAAGGGTAGTTTTCAAAAAAAAATTTTTCCAGCTTTATTCTGTGCCTTTGCATTCCTAGGTAAAACCCAAAGACAGGTCTGAGATGGACTGATACAGATCCACTTGTCCAACAAGTGTTGCCACTTGTCCATTTAAGATAAAGCCAGTTCTATGGGCCAGTTCTCACATCCTCCAGAGTCCAGACCATCTTTGCCTAACGTGCCAAACTGGGATCATTCTTTTCTGTTAGTGCAAATACACTCTTGCACACACAAATTCCAAGTGTGTGAACCTCAGCCAAGGAACAAGAAGACAGTACTACTGGGACATCAGGTACATCTCAAAGTGAATTGGTTTCACCTGCAGTCCAGATCCTCCACCCTCCAGTTACCTATCCTGAGAGCTAATAAAAGGAGCATAAACACTCTTCTTACTTGGGGCACATCGGTTCAGGTTGAACGTCATGATTAATAGCTTAGAACGCACACCGCAATGGACTCAGTCTCTTGACAAGCAAAACTGAAATTTCAGTTAAGTCTTTGCGGTTTTCTAAATGTTCTCACTCCAAGTATCAGAGCATAAGGAAGCATGATAGGTACATAGTACTTACTGATGTATGTCAGAGCGCTGACTTGATGTTCCTGGCTAAGAGTGGAGTGGCCTTGCTTGCAGCAG